ACAACTTTGACTGATTGGCCAGTCCATCGGTCTTATTAAAGTAAAAGCACTCTTACTCTGGGACTTACCGCCCAGCAGATCCTCTATTGAGCTAACTACAGGAAAGGTCCTCACCGGCCTTTTCGCACATTATCAACACACTTTCTTCATCATGATGCGAGCCGACGACAAAACGGAGGCAGGAAGAGATCTCCTGATTGCACTCTTTCCGTCAAGGCGGGCGAGTGGGCGCACATAGCAGACGGGCAATTTGCAATGACGGAACACGCTCACACACTGGAATACGTGTCTGTCGGTCAACCGAAAGCCTCTCACCGAACAAAAGGACGACACGCCAGACACATGGATCTCTCTCTCTCCGCATGTCTGGTTGAAAAACAGGGGCACCGAATCTGCATAAAGCGGCCCCACCCGCCCGCTACACCACACCACACCACACGGCATCAGAGAAGTGACTGTCTGTCTACCTGTCGTTGATAAACCACACACACACAGACACAAACGATAAAAGCACACAAAAGACAGACACTCACTAGACCCCCATTAAGCTGACGCAGCCGCTCCACGCACGACACACGACAGACACACACCCACACACACACTTCCCTTCACCGCTCTGCAGTCGGCGGAGGCATGGCGAAAGGGATGCGCGGCGCGAAAGGCAGCTGATGGATGCTGCCCTCCACTAACCCCCCCTCTCCCTCGTGCACAGCCAACTCGTCACACCCAAAGTACTCAACCATCCCGGCCTTCTCCACACGCACCGGGTCGTCGCTTCTGTCGATGACGAGTGTCGCCCTGAAGTCTTCATTCGTGTCTGCGTATTGGGGGACGACCATCGGCTCGTCGCGGACGAACTGGCGGCTGAGCTCCCACAAGTGGTTGGAGATCTGCCAGTCTTGGTCGTCGAATTTTCCCATGTCGAAGAAGTGGCCAGTGGCGAAGAGATAGTCCATGTCCATCCCTGAGCAGTCAACCCACAACACAACACAACACAACACATGCCTTGTCCCTCTCTCTCGCCCTCTGTGTGTGTGTGTGTGTCTGTGTTACCGTGGTATGCACCGCTGGCATTCATGGCCTCCATTGTGGGTGTGACGGTGTCGAAAAAGAGCAGGTAGGCGGCCGCCGGGTGTGAACGCATCATCAGGTCCGTCCAGCAGTTGGTCGATAACGCACCCAGCAGACGGGCTGACACACACACATATGCAGACTCATACCTATCCGTCGGCACGCCCCTCTCACTTCGACCCCCTCACCGTATGCCCGCAGCCATCCGTCGGTCTGCCCTCTGCTGTACTGAGTGGCCAGCAGCCGCGCCCCCGTCTCATTGCCATACGACTGCAGCATGGTCTTGTTGAACATGTCCTCAGTCATGCTGCTGCTGCTCATGTTGCGCGTCCACCACTGGGTCTCCTCCGACACACTCGACAGCAGCAGAGGCACTCTAGCCACGTCACCGGCCTAATTGAGAGGATGCGCCGATGACAGTGGCGCTCGGTGTGTGCAGGACTGTGTGTGCTCTCACTGACCTCCATGGCTTGCAGGGGCGTTGTGAATCTGAGGACATCTCCGTCGATCACGGGCGCAGGGAAGTCGCGGTAGGTCGTCCTCTTGTCGTCAAACGAATAGTCGCTCGGTGCGCTGGCCACCACCCCAGTGCTGCCTCTCAGACCACCACCACCACCACCACCACCACCGGCAGCACTTCCGCCTTGCCTCAGCGCCGTCCTCCACTCAGGCAACGAGGGGTCGCACTGACACACGCCAGTGTCCATTGAGGAGGGGGAGGCCTCATTCAGGCTGGTGGCAGAGGCGTTCATCAGCCCCTCCAGGCTCTCCACACCCATAGCCTCCTCGAAGCCCTTTCCCCGGATTACCAGGCCCTCGGCGAGAGTGATGGGCCGAAAGCCAGTGGATGGCGAGAAGGCCGCCGCGCGACGGAAGAAGGGCCACGACTCGTTCCAGGTCAGGTGGTAGAGCACGCTGTCTGCGCCGGCAGAGTAGCCGACCAATGTGACGTCATCTGGATCACCGCCGAAAGCCGCGATGTTGTCCTTCACCCACTTTAACGCCATCAGCTGGTCGTGCAGGCCGAAGTTGGTCTGCTGGTCCGCGAGATCAGGGTGGGCCATGAAGCCGAACACGCCGAGACGATAGTTCATCGCCACCACCACCGTGTCGGTCGCATTGGCAAACAGCGACTTGTCCTGGTCGTAGGCAGAGCCGATTGCAAAGCCCCCGCCGTGGATATACACCACCGTCGGCAGCTCCTCCCTCTGCTGGCCTGCTGCGGGCGTCCACACGGCCAGCTCGAGGCACTCCTCTGACTGCGGCACATGTGCCATCATGTCGGGGAAATCCGCCTTGACCTGGATGCACCGCGTCTTGCTCTCAGAGCCGTTGAGCACTCCGTCCCATGGCTGAGGTGGCTCAGGCAGCTGCCAGCGGGCGTGCGAGGCGTAGGGGATGCCTTCGTAGACCCGCACGCGGTCAGATGCGTTGGATCTGTGGCCGAGTACGTCACCATACTTGGTCGAGACGACTGCCTGAGGCTCGGGGTCCGCGATGAGCTGACCGATGGCCACCTGAAGACTTGCGACGAGCAGCAGCAGCGGAAGGGTCGCCACACGGACACGCTCACTGACAGGCATCGTCAGGACCAGATCTTCCCCTGAAAAAGCCTGCCCTTTCCTTACCCTCTCTTCTGCGAGCTTGAACCCTTTTGATGGACTTGGAGAGGTAAGGAAGTCATAGGCCTATTCAGCGATGAATCTGAGTGACAGAAGCGCCATTGTTCTCAATCAACTTGCTGCGACACACAGCTCCTGCGTGTTCCTTCCCAATCTCGCACAGAGAGACAAAACGACACCGGGCCTGCAAAACTAGCTGGGAACGCTCCCAATGATTGAGTCGGTTATTTCTCGGCTGTTTCTCCTCCTTTTCGGATGAGGGAGCGTGTATCGGACTACACCCAACCCCCCCCAGTGACCCTCATCCCGCGAGACGGCGGCGGGCCCCCCTGTTGCGCATGCAACGCGAAAGGGACGTCTGCGCTGTCCACATGCAGCCGGAAGTGTGACTGCCGGAAGCACAAGCGCCTCTGCACTAACTGTGTCAATTGCAAGCGCGGCACGTGCACGAATTTTGCGTATCCCGCGGACCCGGCCGTTAGC